CAAAAAAAGGAGAACGGATCACACACAGGGAAAACCTGGATGGACCTGAACTGTTTTCTGTACAGAGAGCCAAAAGAAAGACTGATAGATTCAGCACAGCTGAGTGGCAATATGACTATAGCTGCATTAAGCTATTTTTTGTGGCTGCATGAAAAAAAAAAAAAAGTAGAAAAATAAAGAAGGAAATTAGAGATGACAACAGCTCATATCCAAAATCTTGCTTCTTAGAAGTCTCCTAATGTCAAGAACTACCCAGTACGTTATTCTTTTTGGTCTCTTTCTTCTGGCTGCAACAATGTACACTGTACTTAATTTCCATTGTGAATTTTTTTCTAAAAGTTTACTTCATGCCTTGGCTTTTATTGCATTCGTCAGATCATAGAATGGCCTGGGTTGAAAAGGACCGCAAAGATCATCAAAACTGATACTGAAGAAAGTAACCCTAATACCAGTGTAACAGCAAAGTATCATTTTGTAGGTCTTCTGTGGCTTTCCTACCAGATCAAGTTAACACAAACCCCTGTATCTCTATCAAGAAACAGGGAAACGAACAAGCATGTGTTGAATGAGAGGTAAATAAACCAGCTCTTAACCGATTCACATTTGCCCATGTGTTGTGTAGTTAAGGTTTCACATGGCATTTGGTTAGGATAGAATCCAAAAATCTCAACAATTTAGAAAACAATTATAATGTGCTAGATAACTTTGACATTTTACGCTTTTCTGTTATCCTTCTTTCAGGATAGCAAAGCTATTTGCACAGGAAGAGATCTTGAACTTCATCCCTGCTCTTGTTACAGCCTCTCAAGGAGCAGGTGTGAATGCATCTGCTTTGTCTCCTCTCCTCTCCAATCCCTCCTTCCTCTTTTCCTGTGTCCTGAAGGAATACGTAAAGCTGCTCTTTATGGGAGGAAAAAGGTAGCACATAATTTTCTACTTTCTTAGTGATTAATCAAACGCTTGAAGGCAAACACAGTGCACACAGGCTCTGCAAGCAGGAGATGTGCACACCTGTATCCCATTGGGCCATGCAGCCCATTCATTTTACACCTGGGAGGAAATCTCACCTCATTGGCTTGTACAAGGGAAGGCACAAGTTTTTAATTAATGAGTGATGAGTACCATTTGTGTTTGGAATGGTGTTGCAAATCAGGTGCTGTGTTTTGTGTTTGTTCACCTCCTGTCCAGTAGGATGAGAAGTATTCATAATAGATTTAAATTGTTTCAGATCCTGGAACTGCTTCTCTTCACATTGTTCTGATGGCAGTTGCTGCCTACTGGAAAGTAGGGGCCAAGCACAGTCACAGCAGTGGTGGTAAGGACAGTTTGGCAGAAAAGAACCAAGGTCTTCATGTGCTCGTGAGCAAACCTTTCAGTAAATTCTGTGCAGTTGGGTTCTCCAGCTAGCCTGGTACCATTTATTTTTTTTCTGTAATCTCCTCTAAACTTGGTGACGGCAATAAAAATAATTACTATTCTATACTAATTGAATTGTAGCTGTCATTAAAGCACTCTTCAGATTAAGATTTTTTGTTAGTTATGTGAAAAGGGTCAGTATGAAACAAAAACGTAGTGCAAGCTCCATCTTACCTATGCTGCCTATTTTTCTAATAAAATAAAACCAGTACTAACTGGTAAAACTACATTGGTCTTCCCATTACCAGTGCTGGTGAATTGGTCTCAGATGTGGTTTTATGGTTACAAGTGATAGTGGCTCAGTGAAGGAGAAAGATTTCTCCTATCGTATTGCCTTTTACATCTGGGTGCTATCACACCTAAACAACAGTGACTTTGTTTTAGAAAGGGAAGGCCTAAGTGCCAACCTTGAGCATCTCAGGGTTTCTAAGGCTGCTTTTCTAGAGCCATCATCATCATTAGTGGTTCAGAATTTATCAAAATAATTTTCCTCCTCATCGCATATCTGTTCTTGAAAGCATGCTTATGAGGCAAGCTTCTCTTCAAAGCAATCACCTTAAAGCATTCTGTTTAGAATAATTGCTTTCCTGCAATCCCAGCTATTACTGTAGGGACAGCAATCATCTTTTTTCAGGAATACATAGGTGAGAAAGATGGCCTTTCTGGAGAGGGGGGAAATGAAGTGATGCAATCAAGATATCCAGTGCAAATCTGCTCAGATTGGTGTACGGGGGAGAGACAAACACAACAACACTCTGAAGAGGAGAGTCTCCAAGTGTGCTCTGGTAAGGAACAAAACACTCTTGGAGATACAGTGGAAAATACTCAGGGACTCATTTGTTCATGAATACTAACATAAAAACATTAACATCAACATTAGCTCCAAAGAAGAGGAATTCTTTCCTTGATGATAATCTGGTATATTCACGTGGGTTACTGATGCATATCTCATCCACACACACCTTATTTTAGTGAAATAGAGGCTCATTGATTCTTCTAAGTTAAAACAGAAGTACAGCATACTCCATGTATGAAGGTTTTATCTGATTTACAGAGGAGGCTTAAATTGAACTGGTAAAGTCAGAAATGATTCACAAATTTGTTTGAAAATGTTTAAAAACTTGAGCCTGGTAAGAATGCAGGAAATATCACTTATCCCAAGTTATTACCTGCTGTAACTGCATGACAAGATCATTATTAAATCTTAGCTCTACATAGCTTTGTGCCTTGCAAGGCATTCAGAATTCTTTTCAGCACACCACTGCGCATTTCTCCTTGTTTTCACCTGCACAATTTTGTTTAGCAGTGTGATGTAAGCAGGCCAGGGGCTGGGAAGCAATTGCTCTTTCCTGTGGCCCACGAAAAAGGAAGCTGGGTTGTGGCCAGGAGGCCTGGAGGACGTGTGGCAACAATATGGACTCACAGCCTGGGGTGATGTCCTGCCAGCCAAAGCTCAGTGCCAGTCACTGGCATTTTCAATTTTGGAATAATTCATTGCAGGCTTCTGAAGTATGCTGCACTTTTCCTGATGGGCTGAGCACCCCTATACTCATTCAACTGCAAATAACCTGCCTTGCTGTCTTCTTTACTATCTCCCACTGCCACAAATAACTTGTCCCAGACTCCTTAGCTCCAGTCACCACTGCATCCTCTTCATCCTTACCAGAATCCAGCCAAAGAACCTACCCAACAGCCACATCCCTGGGACAGTTCCTTCTGTCTTTGTTTATGAGCAGGTAAAACCCAGCTTCGTCTCCTAGTACACAACTTTCTGGGCTATGTCTCTGCTTGGAAATCAGAGGTGTTCACAACACTCATAGGCAATGGGCCCAATTGGCACAGGAGGGCCTACATCATTAACATTCTTTACTTTCAAAACCTGAGAAGCTGTATGCAAGCTATCATCAGGAAATGGGCTCGGGCCTATGGTATCTTCCAATCCGAACTTGGAAATGTTAGGCAGCTGGAACTAATGCTGTGATAATACTACAGAAAAACGAGACTGAGTATTCTAGAACTGTCTGAAGTTCTCATATACAACTCATAGTTGCAGCTGCAGTGCTTATAGCATCTGTACTATGACCAAACTTAGGAGGGAGAGATTTGGAATCCTTCAGACCATGGAATTTCCCAGTTTCTGGATGAGAGCTGTGTGAAGTTATCCAACAAATATGGGCTGGAGTGCATTATTCTGAGCAAAGCCTGACCTAGTTTGCACAGTGTGCTCTGTGGAAAACTTGAGCTGGCTGGCACACAGAGTGCTCTGCTGCTGCCAGTCACACACGGCCCTGGTCCTGGGCAGGCTCAGGACTGCCAAATATTATATTATACCATAAGGCCAAGTCACCTATCTGTCATGATGTAATGGACTGTGAGCAGACTCTAGGTGACATACTGTAAGAGTGGGGTTGGTGTTTAGTTCTGTGCAGTTCTGCTACTTGGCATGGAGAGAGAGATTGCTTTTGTGGTTGGATCTGTTTGGCTGCATGTTGTGATCCAAAACTGCACACCCAGATGAAGGAGCCGACTGTAGAATCACGGGTTAAGTAGGATGTATCAGCACAGGCATTATTTCACCCATTTCTTTCTCCTCTTCCAGTCTATATCTGGGTGCAGTGCCCCCATCTATGCTGAAATCTTTGCATTTTGATCTGCATGAAACAGGAGTGGTGCCACCTTGTTAGGGACGTTACCTTTCGTTATTTTGACTTAAAAAAATCAGAGCTATCAAAGCAGGGACATAAAGAGCAGGGTCTCCAATTACAGAGAACAGAAATTCTGGTTTCATTGCTCAGTCCTGCCACCTGTAGTAGTCAGCAGCTTATTGCCTCAGATGTAATCTCCATCATATAATTGCACCTGTGTCCTATTTGCTCAGCTTGTGTGACCTGCCAGTAACCTCGTTGGGCTGGCTGAGGAGGTGAAAATCACCTGGTCATGTTTGGGTGAAAAGGCTCCACATCTTCCATGTTTTCCTGTTGAAAAGGAGCAGCAAAGTGATAAAACAGTCACTAGGCTGAAAATCAGCAACATACTTTCACTTCCTTAATGAAAGACCTGTATTTCTGTACGAGATGCCCATTCTCTCCAGGGGAGAGTATAAAGAACTACATTTCTTACACTGTTCTTTAACTGATGCATGATGCACTGACTTGAGCTCAAATCCCTCTTGAACTGCTTTAAGTTTGAGCTTGGAGGAGCCAGCATAAGGTAGCTGAAACTCGAATGGGACTCCATCCCTATGCATACTTCTAACAGCACAGAACATTCACCCCAAAGCATCAAGGTATGCTATTTCCACAATAGGGTTGTTGGTAGGAGCGTGCACGTCTTTGGATATGGCCTTGCTTTGGGACGTTTTGTCACTAACATGTTTTCTCTCGTTCTCATTGCGACCTTTAAGGAGATTTTCATTCCATCGGGGTGGAATTCCATTGAGATCCCGCATGGGTCGGTCGATCGGTCGATGTCCCGTCCTTCCCTGCCCAAAAGACATCATGGTTACTGCCGGCGGGGAGCGGGGAAATGCCCCGAGCTCGGCACGTTGTAGGTGGCAGCAGGAAACAGCCACGGCCGCCGTAGCCATGAGACAGCGTTCGACTCACTGCTGCGCGGCGGTGAATTTCAGACCGACTCGATACGCCCGGGCGTCGCTTTCTAACGGCCGCCAGCTCCGCGACCCCCTCGGGGTCGGAACCCCGCCGCAGCCATGCGTGCGCGCGGCGGCGGTGCCTCCCGGTCCCGCAGCGCCGGGCTCCCTGGGGCCGGGCAGGTGCGCGCTGCGGCTGCACGCCGCCTCCCGCGCAGGTAGGGCAGAGCCGCGCGCGCGTGTGCCTGCGCGCGTCCGCGGGGCCGCCCGCCTGCGTGCCGCCG